AGCCTTAGTCAACCCGTTTTTCTGCTCCACCTTTATTTCACAATTGTCTCTTCTTTTTCCACTTGAGTCGGAAGCTAGAAATCGGCCATAAATACTCAGAGGATTAACAAGCGAATGCGGAGGATGAAGCAGCATGAGGTATGGATTCTTATATTATCTTGCAAGTATTGGACCTTTCTTAGACTGGTTGACCGGTTCTGGTTGTTTCGGGAGCCTTGATTTTCTTACACATTCTCGGGTCATGACATACCGAGATGGCGAGTCTCTGTGCCATAAACGATAGGATTTAATTGAACACCGAAAGTAGTCATTCATCTCTCTTTCGTGTTTACCAAAGACAATATCACCTGACGCTAGCAAAACCACAATGATGCCATTCTCGTGCGTGGAAATACATCAGTCCTCTTCGATTTCCCACTACTTGGTCGTAAAATTAATGTTATGGGGTTCTTCCTACGCTATCTGGTTACCAGATTCCTTGTCTTTCCATATGCTTACAATCAAGTTGCCTCCGAGTTCATTTGCCCTACAAGGAAGTGCAATTGGGTCTGTTTTCTCTGTGGCCCAATAGCAATTGGTCTATATCGGTGATTTTTAGAAGTCTTACATCGGCGCCTGATACTTCGCTGAATTTGTGATAACCCAACGGCGAAATGTGAGAGCTACTCTCAGTAAACATTGGAATCAGAGCCTTCTGTTATCTTGCAGAGGCTTGAGGGTGTGTGTAGTTGAACCGAGTGGCTTTTCACTAAACCTAAACCAATAGACGCCTTGGCAGGAGTTGTAAATCCGATCTCTGCAAAAATTGGTAGGAACTATATAGAAATTGCAAACCAAAATGGATCAATCCTAGTAGAATTCAAGTGATTTACCTCTTCTTCAGGAGAATCTATATTCATCCCATTCTACTTGGTATTTCGCTGCGTTTCTCAAAATTCCTGAATTATGTAGTTATTCCAGTCGCTCCTCATTATTTACCAACCTTGATATTCAAAATAGACGTCACCATGGTCACAACATAGTCGTCAAATTACGATCCAATCACCATTGGCTCAGTACGTTAAGTATTTGTGACTTCTAACCACTGTGTCTCCGTCTACTTATACCTCCATGCAATCTTTGATTATTCCTTATGTCTGGCTGCCATAGAAGAGGTCCAGAAACTATGCATAAGCTATTAGACTTCACTCATTTTCTTAATGTGAAATCTCTAACAAAGAACAGCCAGGTTTGGTTCCTTTCAAAATACTTTTGCGTTGCAAAGTCTGGTCAAACCGAAGTGTAGTGGTCGCTCTTTCATCATGTGAGGCGACGAAAATTTTACTCCAATGCCATCTTACCTTTGAAAGTGCAGATCCTTAAAAGAAAAAAATATTGACAAATTGGTTAGCATTGAGCCTTTCTGACTTTCCTATCGCTATCAATCATTCTAACTTATTTTTGACTGACAGATGGTTGAATTGCCTAAATGATCCTAGAGTAGCCGGTCTGATTGTGTAGCTTCCTCAAAGAGGAAGAACCGAGGAGTGAGGATCCTTAACACAGTGGTGGAGTGCGTTCTTGCAACGTCATTGTGTGCGAGAGGCCGGGAGAGTCGGTGGGACTAAATCACTTCCATGATGCAAGTGAACCTCTGCAGAATGAATGATGGGAAGTGTATGTTAAATTAATCGCTTTTTTCAAGACCAAGCTTTAGTACACCGACTTAGTAAGTAACTAAATGCCATGTGGTTGACAATTTGCAGCATTAAAATTCATCAGTGTAGGCCCATTCTTTTCACCTTACTAGCTACGTCAGTTACATTGGTGTCCTGATTTCAAATCATTTTTATGAAAACCGAAGAGCTTTGGTGAAAGAAAAGGGGCCCGTTAAGTTTATTTAAGTTTTCTGTAAAACAAAGTGCCTCAACTATTTTGTCACGGGGTATAAGAAGGAGAGTGGAGTGAATGGGAAATCCCTTAGCCTACAATGTCTCATCCTTAAGCACGTGGTAAAGCCTACTAGCATGGAAGCAATTCTATTTATGGATGTGAGGAAGGACAAGGAAACAGTACGTGAAGGCGGTAATGTAAAAATTTGAGACTTAACCACACATACGTGATTATGCAAGCTCTTCTGTCGCTACGATTGGGATTGTTACCTGAGGCAGTCTTTGACTCTCTGCAAGTAAATTAGAATTGCCTCGTTTTGGCGCTGCCTGTTGAAAGTGGTAAAAATTAATTCCCCAAAACAAAGAATGCATTATATCTCAGACGTGGCCATCACTAAGAGTAGATCAGTTCATCAGTTCATCTCATTCTATTACACAGTTTCTCCTCTATCCTCCAGACTCCGTTGTCAAACAATTTTTTGCTAAATCTACTAGTTTGTAGTTGTAGTACCGATGAGTACTCTACAATCGCCAGAAAGGCTGTAGCCAAGATTGTGCGGTC